TTGACCCAAAGGAGGGCAAAGATATTGTAACAGAGAAATGGTGCACTCTTAGTCTATCTAAGAAGAGATTAGTACAAGTCCAGTCCAGAGTTCAGCGATAGCCACACCCATAAAACACATCACTTTCGACATAAGATTTCTCAGAAATTTCATAAACAACCAAAGTTGCCTTCCCTGATAATGGCCAGCCCCTGATAAATGCCCCTTTGCTTCAAGAAAATTGTTCCCACTGATAAGTGTTAAGTGTATCACCTTCTGCATGGACAAAAAAATGGTATTTCACTGTTCCTTAGACTGCTGTAGCTTTCACTTTTATCAATTTTTCTTGCTTTGGTTTCACAATTGAGTTTCATCATGTGTGAATAAATATCACTTGTGCTTTAATTAAACTGACTATATCTGGATTATTTTTTGAAGCAATGGTCCTGAATCTAATCAAGAGTTGACTTTCATTTATAGGAAACATAGAAACAAGTGACCACATGAAACCACACAGTCACATCAGAATGTAAGAAAGGTCATACCCAGTGTCTGCAGTAACTCAATGACAGGAATTTAAAAATAAGGGGAGGTATGCTCCAGATCAAAAGAGATTTGAGCAACATAAAACTGAATGGAATGTGTGAATCATATTTGGGTCCCAAGGCAAACAAAGAAAATGTAAAAAGGTAGTTCTGAGATAATCATAAAAATATGATTATGAACCAGATATTAGATCATAGCAATAAATTATTATTAAGATTAAGTGTGATAGTAGAATTGTACTTATGTCAGAGGAGCTTCATATTTTTAGAGATACTTAAGTATGTAAGAGAATATTTAAATAATGTCTGGGATTTCCTTTTAAAGATTTCAGCAAGGATGGAAAAAAGAAAAGAATAGGAGAAAATCTTGATAATTTTTAACTTGATTGATAAAAGTTCACTATTTGCTGACTCTTCCTTTGTGTCCATCTGAAATAGTTCATCACAAAGATTTTCCTATATAATATTCTTATTTTTATGTAAATATTAAATATATATGTGTATGTGCTAGTTTTTGGAATCCTCTTTCCACAAGAGAACATTTCCTGCACAATCTAAATAAACTCAGATAGCAAATCTGTGGATAAAATCTCTTCTGCCACCATAGGCAGCATTTGCTGCCTAATCTGCATGCTGTGCCACTGTTGCTGAACTGAATTCCTAAAAAGTCAGGTGGAATTACTTAGCCGGGGATTCAGGGAGCAATTTTTTTTAAAAAAGAAGAGTCCATCGAGATGAGAAAACGTAGAATGAGATTCCATTTTCTATAGGTGAGTTCTACTGTTACTATCAAATTGAATTTTTCATGAAATAGCTTTTTAAAAATGCTACTTATTAAATCAATTTCATTTGATAATTAAGCAAGATAGAGGTGGGGGGAGCTCAGAGGATCAAGGAATACATGAATAAATGATTAATAGGAAAATATCCTGGGAAGGCAGTAAAATAAAAATGCTTAAGCTTTTCTCTTTCTTAACCCCACCTCCTCTCAGCTGTGATTTAAAATAAACAAACTTAAACGACAAATGTTAACTGCAATGTCATAGAGAAGCTCCTGTTTGAAATATAAAATAAAATAAGGACTCTGAGCTAAAAATAATGAGTCATTCTCCTAGATTTCTCTTCCAGGCACTTCAGTATTATCTCACTCAAGCATCATGAACTGAAATGCTGTGTGAAATTCTGAGGGGAAGCAACTTCCCAGCCTCACTGGTGCTCAACTAGTGTTCTCCTTGGACTCACCTGTAAATCAGCTCACAGAAAGAAGGAAAGAGTTACAGTAGTTGCTGCAAGATAGCAACTACTTGTTCAGCATCACCAATGTAATGTAAAGATTTGACTTAGTTTTTATCATTCTTCTTAGGACGAGAGCAAGTTCATTTCCAGAAAAGTTTAATTATGAAACCATCAATAAGACTCACTCTTTTCAAATAAGTTATTTTGCTTCAGGGTAAATTATACAAATTACTAATATGTACAAATTCCACTTGAACATTAAAAAGACACTAGGTAAATAAGAAAATAATTAACTAAGCATTCTTCATTTTAAAATAACTAATCCGAAAGGAAAACAATAAGATATCTTCATTCAGCATTGCAAAAACACCTCTAACCGTTGGGAAATATCTGCACCATACAGATTTATTGTTCATAAGGAACACTAACTCCGGCTTCTTGAAATGACTTTCCTTTTAAATAAACCATATTGGATAGTTCTATTAAAAGATATCCAACCCTTTTTAATTTTTATTAGTATATAGGATTTTTAAAGTATATTTTATTGATTATGCTGTTACAGTTGTCTCATTTTTTCTCCCCTTTATTCCCCTCTGCCCTGCACCCCCTACACTCCAGAATCTGCCTCCTTAGTTTACGTCCATGGGTCATACATATAAGTTCTTTGGCTTCTACATTTCCTATTCTTAACTTCCCCTGTCTATTTTAGGCCTACCAATTATGCTTTTTATTCCCTGTATCTTTTCGCCCCATTCTCCTCCTCCCCCCACCCACTGATAACCCTCCATGTGATCTCCACTTCCATGATTCTGTTCCTGTTCTAGTTGTTTGCTTAGTTTTTGTTTTTTAGGTTCAGTTATTGATAATTGTGAGTTTATTATCATTTTACTATTCATAGTTTTTAATCTTTTTTAATTTTTAATTGATTTTATTTAGTTATTTTTCAAGTACAGTTTTTTGTCTATTTCTCCCATCCCAGCCTCCCCCGCCCCTTGCTCCCCACCTCCCTCCCATTTCCACCCCCCTTAGTTCTCGTCACCAATCCCACCAACAGTGAACTAAGGACCCCTTTTCCCCACAACCTCTCCAATATTTGTTGTTTGTTGCTTTGTTTATGATAGCCATCCTGACTGGTGTAAAGTGGTATCTCATTGTGGTTTTAATTTGCATCTCTCTGATAGCTAATGATATTGAGCATCTCTTCATGTGTCTCTGGATATTCTGTATGTCCTCCTTGGAGAAGTGTCTGTTCAAGTCCTTTTCCCATTTTTTAATTGGGTTAGATGTCTTTTTAGAATGGAGTCGTGTAAGTTCTTTGTATATTTTGCTCCAAATCTTTGATTTGAGTCCCAGTTTCCTTCCCTTCACTGTTGGTTCTCTGAATATTTTCCTTTATTTCACTTTGCATAACCTTCACTTTTTCCTCTATTTTGTGACCATACTCAACAATTTCTGTGAGCATCCTGATTACCAGTGTTTTGAACTGTGCATCTGATAGGTTGGCTATCTCTTCATCACTTAGCTCTTTTTCTGGAGTTTTGATCTCTTCTTTCATTGGGCCATATTTCTTTGTCTCAGCACACCTGTTATGTTGTAAGGGGGTGGAGCCTTAGGTAATTGCCAGGGTGGAGCAGCCCTCTTTGCTTCATTGTGGTACTGTTGGGGCGGTCTGCTGCCTGCCCTTGTCCTTTCCTCCTGACTGCCCATCTTCGCCTCTCCCGCTGGTCTGGATGAATGTTTCCTTAACCCCTTGGTTATCAGAATTCCATGCAGTTTGATTTTTCTGGCAGTTCTGGTTGTTTGTTTGTTTGTTTGTTTTTAAACTGGTTGTTATCTCTCTTTTGGTTGTGCAAGGAAGCAAAGCATTTCTACCTACACCTCCATATTGGCTGGAATTCCTATAGGGGTTTAAATATGGAAAATAATCAAACTGTCAGTCAATTAACTATTTTTCATGTGTTGCTAATTTAGTTGTATCTCTAGATACCTTTAACTATAATTGCATTTCCCCCCCCAAAAAAATTCTGTGGCTTTTTATTTTTTACAAGCTTCCTTCCTAATTGACTGAGATCAGATAAAAATAATTAATTCATTCTAACAGTAGTTTTAATATCTTGCTAACTTTTAAAAATTACTTTGGGATTCTTTTCCAGTTCATTATTATTAGCAGAAAATCATATGACTGCATTAGATGACATCAGCTAATCCTCCAAAGTAGCTGTTTCTCTCCAATTTGGAAAGAAACCAACACTTCAGGCCTTCATGCAGAGAGAGCACACAATATGCTGTAACTACAGTAATTAAAATCTGTTAGCATATCTCTAATTTCTACAATCTCATCTTACTGTTATTAAAGTTAAAAATTTTACAAGGGTCTTCTACTGACATGAACTCTATCTAGCTATGTTCTTTTGTGAATGGAGCAGGATATAAATAAATAAACAATAGTAAACAACCCAGTGCCCACTCCCAACATGCTCAAAGCATACTCAAAAAGGAGGTTGGTTGGAGCATATCTGTGGCTTCACTGGGTTTAATCATCTTGAATTACTTTCAATTGCATTTTGTTGTTGTTTCACAAGCTTATCTATCATGTGAACCATGAAGCCAAGCACTAAAAAAGGATATAAATACAAACATATACACTACTCAGTCCCCACTGTTAAAAAATTTAAATATATTGGAAATCATAAACACAATAACCACAATTTATTACATGTTTATGGTCTTTAGGCAGTTTATATATAATAACCTAACCCTTTGGTCTACCCAAATCCTGCAAAGCAAGATTTTACAATGCCCTTATTTTATTTTTTCTCTTACTACTCTTCTTCATGGGGCCCACTATCCCCATGAAGACCATTTGCTGACAAAGCTGACTCTCACCTTCAGACCTCTGGAATCCACCCTACCTCTGTAGTTAGGGGAGTCAGTTTGTTTCTTTTTTAATAGTAGTAGTAGTAGTAGTAGTAGTAGTAGTAGTAACCAAAAGGACTCTAACTGGTGACAGGATAATATTCATCCTCCAAAAGTAATAACATTTTCTTAAAGAAATTTGCCTTCTATTTTTCATCATTTTATATTTTTTAGACATTAAGAAAAAGCTTAGCTGCTTTCATAATACTAAAGTCTGAAGCTTTATTAAATAAGTTGTTTGATAAATGATTAGCTGAACAAATGCATGAATATGAATAAATTATTGAATATGAGAGAATTTCTCTCTTACTATATATACCCTACTCTCATGCTGAGATATATAATTGACAAAAAAGAAAAAGTAATAAATTATTATAATTCAGATATTTGAATTTATTTCATTTTTCTTAGCCCATCGATGTTAGCTTGCTATCTTTACCTTCTACAGTACATCACACTAACCTACCCTCTCCTCTGCTTGACGTTATTTGAAAATCATACATATCTGAGTTCAGGTGCTTAGCACCCAGAAAGTCAGAAAGAAATGAGTGCCACAGCTGACACCACTCCAGTGTAAGGTTCACAAGAGAAGGGGAGATTGGACCATAAAATGTGTTTTGCCTCAATTTACTCATAGCAATCAAAAGTGCAATAGATCTTGTTCAACTGCCAATGGTAGTTGTTAAAAACATTAGTGCTCTGACTTAAAGACATTTTTCTCCAAGGAAGTTAAAGAATGTGTAGAGATGGCACATAACTTGAGGGGAAAGGGTGTGGTGGAGAAAAGAATATGTACTTTAAAGACATTAGTCACATAGACCTGCTGAAAATCTTTCCTCTCCTGACTGGTAACTACTCTGCTCAGAGGAAACCAATTCCTACATTTAAAATGGAAAATGACTATAGAGAGGGAGAAAAATGGTTATTTATTTCCTGACCCTTCCAACTTCTATATTGTTCCCTTGCTGTGTCATAGTCACAGACCTATATAATGACAGGAAAAATAATGTCTAATCTTCCCGTTCAAGGAATAATTTTATTGATCTACACTTTATCTTTTTTTTTCCTGTGACTCAGCAGGTCAGAACAGCCTCAGTTCCCAGATGTGCATGGGTTTAGAATGTCTGCAAGTTAGTAAGAGGTGAAGAAATTTATTTCAGCACCAAGGAGAGTACCCTGTTATTTTCAAATGGTTTGAGGCATTTAGAACTGTGTATTATTCATGAGACCAGAAAGAATTTTGAAATGCAGTTTGATAGAAAACTGCTCAGAACTTATTTCACACATGATAAAAATTTTAATCATTTATGTAAAGTAAGAACTTGCTAAGGTACATGTTCATGATTTCAACCATGTGCTATGCTATTTTTTAGCTACCAATGCAATGGAATTAGAGAATCTAAGACTATTGTCAGATGTCAAAATAACAGTTTCTGAATGGAGCTAGACTGCAGGAAGGTTCAGTAAAGTCACAGAAGTGTTATACTAACAGCGATTAAAAGCTCCCTGAGAACAAGTCCTAATGTCTTTCTCATTTCTGTATCCTAAACGCGTGGCACATGGTAAGTGCTCAGTGTTTATGTGAGTCAAGTGAGGACAAATGTATTGATGAATGACATTAGTTGAGTGACAAGGGATGAATTCATAAATTCCTCACTTATAATGAAAAGTCACCTTTTGCAACTGGCCTCAGAGATTCTCACACACCACACTCTCAGCCAGAAACTTGAACACATATATACTTAGCCTATAGCAATGCAGTCTCTGGATCTCAAAAACATCATGCTCCAGATCATGTCTTTTATCTTTACTAAGCTTGCATCTAAGGAAATGATTCTTCCTAGAGACCTGGAAAGGTCACTCAGGTTTCAAACCAGGTAATTAATATTACATCTCCAGGCCAGCATGGCCTCCACCCAACTCTACCTCCTCCAATATTCAGGGTGACCAGTCAACCTGGTTGTGCCCTGTTAACAGATGGACAGCACACAGGTGCAGGAGGCTACCTCTCGTCCTCTTCCATGAGGTCCACAGGTGGCCCATGACTACTTGGTCCTAGTCCCAAGCAGCCCAGGCAGGCCTTTCCTTCTGTGCCAAGACTAGAAAACATCAGGCCTTGTTCTGCTGCAGGATCTTCAAGGGTCCAGAGACATCTGAGCCCTGCTGTGCTGGAGACAAATGACAAGATTGCAGTTCATCTCTGAGTTGCCATCATAGAAGACATGGGGTCACCCAGGCAGGGTTAAAAGCAAAGAGAAAAGATGAACCAGTAAAAACAGTGTTTAAACAGTTGTTTCCAACAGTCAGAATGTTATGAAGATTTTTCAGTCCTCCAAGCCCCTCTCCCTTGTTTATGACTATTTGTGTAATGAAACTGTAGGAGTGAAGTGAAGCCTCCTGACTCCCAGGTAGCCACAGACCCAGTTCTCAGCTCCTGGGAGCCTTCTGGGTGAAGGCTCCACTCTACTTGGACTGTACTACCAGGCCCCCAAAAAAGGGGGGAGCTGCCCGGGAAGCACTGATTTCCATTTCAAACTGCATTCTGGTACTTTGTACTCCAGCACCATTGGCCAATCAATATTTAATGCTCAGAGATTCTGGCTCTGCACGAGTCATGTCAGGGGACCTTGGGAGCCAATCTGCTTGAGCTTCTGCGTGATCATTATTCATGGGCTCCTGCCTCTTGATCCTTCTCTCGCACGGTCCCACTCTGCAGAATCAGTGCCTTATTCAGTCTTCTCTCTCGCTCTCTCGTTGCTGCTGCTGCTGCTGCTGTAGCTGGACTCTTCGCCTTCTCACCGCTCAGCATCTGTACATCCCTACAATGGCTAAAACAGCGATGGGTAAGGTAGTGCGTGGCTCTCCCTGAGCTTGACCTGGAGCCCACCCTCACCTCTTAGAGCTTTGAAGGCATTGGGAGATATTTTATTAAAAAAAAAAAAAACATTAAGGGTAACACAGAAACAAAAAAGGACGGTTGGGAAAGGCCAAGAAGAAGGGAGGGTCCTTGGAAATCTAAAACTAAGAATTTCTTTTTAAAAGTTGAAGCAAGTAAATTGCTTTCTCATGGGTAGGAAATTATTATGTTGCTTATTTAAAATTAAGGCTTAGCGTCTGGTGGGGGGGGGCTGCCTTTACCATTTGCCTTAAATGGGGATAAGGGAAATTTTGGAAAATGCTTTGTAATGTCCTTTATTTCCTATTTAGTTTTTGTTTTGTTTTGTTTTGTTTTAAGAAAAAGAAAGAAAAACCGAGTAAGAGAAAGGGGATGGGAGAAAAGAAAAATGCCAAGTCAAAGCGGTCCCATCTCTACTGTTTGAAAGACGGGTGGAGACAAGGGGTGGGCGAGCAGATTTTATGGTATTGTCTCGCGGGTTGGAGAAACCGCTAGCCCTGGGACACAGCAGGAGGGAGGGGCTGGGGTGGGAGCCAGGCTCCTTTGTTTTAGGGGAAAGAGGATGGAAGTCAAGGAGGGCACCGAGGGTGCTGCAAGGGTGGAGACTCGAGAAGGAAGGGAGGGTTGGAGGGACAGCTGTTTCTGGGCCGGGGGTGGGGTTTCTTTGTGTGAGGACGAGGGGTCTCTAGGGAAAGCACCTGCAGGCTGGGCTCTGAAGCGGCGGCCCCACCCCGTGCGGAGCCTCGCCCGTGCCCCACCCCCCAGCCTGTGCTGCGTCTGCAACAGAAAGAGGGTGGGGCGGGAAGTGCCAGCAAGACCCCCAGGAGCCCAGCCAGGGGGTACACAGCGCCACACCCATGCGGGGCACTCCTCGGTTTGGGATTACAACCTCACCATTGCCCCCTTCCCCATCCTGGCCTCATTGTTCTGTTTAACGGGGAGGAAGGTGGGGACAAGGGAGGGGGTTAACATTTTTCTTTTCAAAACCACGTTGCATAGGGTGATTAGACATAGACACCGATAAAGGCTTCTTTAAACTCCTTTGATTGTTTTTAGGAAAAGCTTCCGGAATCTAGAGATGTGTGTGTGTGTGTGTGTGTGTGTGTGTGTGTGTGTGTGTGTGTGTATAAAACAATACAGAGAGAAAAGAGGTCAAGGTCTTAAATTGAACCACGTGAGATATCCATTCTATAGGTCAAACAGGGCCAAATATTGGCAATTTTCATAGGTTCAACCTAGATCAGGGAAGCAGACCGCGGAGACAGAGCCCGAGCGAGATTCCGCATCCAGGGCCTCCATCTCCAGCCGGCCCTGTGCCTCAAGTGCTCCCTGCTCCCGGGACTTGTGGCCCTGGGGCGGACATGCAGGGAGGAGCCCCAGGTTGTTGGCTGGAAGCTGCCCTCCCCAGGGACCTGGTGCGGTGAGCAGCTGGGAGAAGCAGTGGGCTGCGCCCGGACAGCTCCGCCCTTGCCCCACCCTCTGCGCGGAGCCGGAAAGACCTTGGGCTTGGAGTCTTGGTAGGGAAGGGGAGCTTCATGAGAAGGGTGGGGACTGGGCGGTTGAGGCTCTGCAGTCGCTAAGACCCCCTTTAGCAGCTTTGCAGCCTGGAGCCTCCTGGGCCCCATCCACATGTTCAGCCAACCCGCAACACTCAGCAGAAAGGTTGGCTGGAGCCCCTCCCGACCACACAAAGGCGTGGCCCCACCCCAATCGGTAGAAGACCGTAGAGGTGACCCTTGCCCAGGGGTCCCGGTAGCATTCTCTCACCTCGGCTCCTGCAGCTCAAGCCCACTACCCACACTCTGTTCTCCTGGAGTTCCCCGAATGGGGACCCCTTGGGCAATCTCCCTGAGAAGGACTCTCGCTGTTAAAGCCAGACGCGGCTCTGCCCCACCCCTCCCAGCTTGGCCTAAACCTGACAACCCGCGGTCCTGTGGGGGCGCACTTGGCCAGGGCGCCTGGAGTGCTGCCAGCCCTGCAGAACCCCCATCTCGCCCTGCGCTCCCCACCCGGGAGCTCGGCGCTCGCCCCCGCTGTTGCAGCAGGGGAGACTTTTCTGCGCAGTGTCCTGAGCTACCCCTGCTTCCCAAAATTCGAGGTTCACTCGCAAGTCCAGGAAGGTTTTGGGAATGGGGGATAGGGGATGAGGGCGGTCAGGCTCTGCAAGCTCAGCCTACAGCACTGAGAGGTTTTTGCCTGGAAGGTCGCGGGATGGGGGTGGGGGTGGGGGGTTGCAGGCAGGGCGGTGACCCGAGGAGAGTGTGGCTACAAATTCGTCATCATCAGTGTTAGTGTTATTATCTCAAATCATCATTATTTTTACTTCATGATTCAGTGGTCTTATTTGTTCCAAACGTTCCAATGACTGCATTTGGTTAAGGATTAACTCTTGTCACGCACGCTCTTCTTTCTCCTACTCCTCCCTTCCCCACCTCACGCCCAAGAACGAATTCTGTCTCTAGTTAACTCATTCTACGTTATTTAGCAAACATATTTTCAGGTTTTTTCGAGATTATGTATGTGCATGTGGGTCGGATATATGTGCAGGTGCATGCTAAGGGCAGGGCTTGTGTGATAAAGAATGATGAAAAATTCTCCGCAGAGAACTGCGGCTGCATTGGATGAAAATATACATATATAATTGAGGTATTAGGATCTTCAGCATGTATTCCATAAGGTTATATCTATAAATAAATAAATGTAAGTTAGGAACAAAATGTTAACTTTTTTCCCAAAACTGTTCTTCCTATTGCCGATTCTTGATATGGTCTCAATTCTACACAGAAACATGGTTAGTGAAATGGTAGCCAGCATGCCATTAACAAAAACCCCACCCAAAATATGACAGATGCAAGGGTCCTTTCTGCCAAAAGTGGACTGTTTCTGCAAAATCTCAAAGAGAAGCACAACCTCCCCAATGTTGAAATAATGGATTTTGAAATCATTCCAGTTGCAAAACATAATCAATTAATTATCGGGAGGGGTGTTTTTTTCTGATTCATTAAACAATTATTGTATTCAACATGATTGCACTAGGTGCATAGAATATACCCCATACCTTCTCTAATGAAGTGGGTGCCTTCTAAATAAATAGAAGTGGGAAAGATCAGGGTTCAGTTATGATTTCAGGATACAAGTGAAAGAAAAGGCAGTCACTTATCAATTAATCATATAGAATATATCTCATGCCAGGTGAATAAGCTGAGCCTGCAACAGTGTGTGACCGGATGCGGCCCAACGCAGATCACCCATGTGATGCTATAAACACTGGGGGTGTTGGCCTATGTTCAAATTCTCTGAAAGAAAGTATACTGTATTTTAAAATAAATTAGGATTGGATGGTTAGTGATATTAAAATATAGAGTTTTGTTCAGCCAAAATTTACAATGGTTTTGTGATGTGATTTATAGGTTTGTACTGACTTATGTTAGTTTAAGGGGGAAGGGAATAGTTTTATTGTTAGAGAAATTGCTTCTGCCCTTAGTCATTAACATTTTTAGCAGAGTTTTACCTGTTGCATTAAAGACACTTTTTCTTACTTTGAGGGGGTTTTCCCACTCTTAGTGGATAAATTATGGAGTAAGCATTCGATCAGTTGGCCCAATCTGTTTTCGTTCTCAGCGATGAAAATGCTGCAGGCAGCACTGCACTCAGATTCAAGAAATGCTCTCTCGGAGTGCCAGAAAGCCAAGTCACACAGGAAAATACTTTTCCTCCCTATAATTTAGGATCAAAATATCAACTTAATTCTGTGAATATTTACTCATTGGTATCAATCATAATTGTAATTTAAATCTGTACAATTAAAAAGATGGGAGATGAAATCAACTATATATTTAATTGGGAACATTTCTCATTAATAAATCCAGACCATCTTTAGAAAAAAATCCTGTTTTATGAATCATCGTTGTTTCTCATTCCAACAGAATGAGACTGACCATGTACCCTGTTCCTCCCCAGTAGCTGGATGCTCACCTAAGGCTGGTTGCACAGCTGGCCTCCCAGTAGGTGGCTGCCTGCTCTGGGCGTGGCCACCACAAGCTGCTGCTGGCTAACTCCAGCTCACTCCAATTTCCTCTTTGGTTTTGGAGAAAAACAAACTGTATTCTGTGGTCACACATATGAGGCCTTATGTGGAAAATGCAAGAAACTTGCCAGACAAGGGGAAAAATACCAAATTAGCCAGTGACCCAGATGTTTTCAATAGGAGGCTGGTTTCCTTTCCTAATTCTCTCAGTTGGAAACCTTGGAGTCTGCATTAACTTTTCCTCCCACTAGAGGGCAATCAAGTTCTCTAAAGAGCTGGATTAATTTAAACCCACTTCAAATACTAGTTTTTCATTAGTTTTTTCTTTTTAATCAGTTTATTTGGTTGCTTACTTGATAAGTTAATACTATGCTTTGCCCTAGTGGATAAAAAGGGTTGTGAAACTGGTTAATTATGTATTCTCTTACCATTTTACTTTCTAGTTTCATTACATTATTATTGTAGTATTTATTTTAATTGAGGCGGAGGTGGATAAAAAGTAGAATATGGTCTGTAGTAATAACAAAATTACTTAGAAACAGAATGTATTATTAGTGTTTAAATAAATGAATAAGATCATTTATTTAAAATATGCGCCATGTTGGGGACACACCTGAATGTCACTGGCCACCTTTAGGAGTTTGTAGGGTAGTACGTAAAATAAATGCAATGTAATACCCAGAAGAGGTACCAAAAACAAATATAACTAATTTACAAGATCATCAAAAGTGGATTTTTTTAATCCACTGGTAGGGAATCCATTGGTAGGGAATTTTTTTCTCTTATATTTCATGTAGGTATAATATATCTGTAAAGTATTTAATAGTTTTATATGACTGTGTTCCTCAAACTTTAATCTGCATTTGAAGCACCTGTGGTTTTCATTAAAATGGGAATTCTGATAAGAGGTCTGGTTGAGG